CGTACGGCGTTAAAAAAAATATATTTTGAAGATAAATGTTGACACTTTCAGATGGCGTAAACGAAAGTAGAAAAAAAAATTTACTTCGCTAGCAAAAAGTCACAAATATGTCAAAAAACGTCAATTTTGACACCTTTAACCTCACTTTTCTCAAAAACCTGGGCACCTATTATGGAAATTTGGCGATTCCGATCGGAATCGCGAGATTCCGACTGGCGAGTTTCCGACCGCGATTCCGTTCATCCGTTTTTGCTATTATGGATGCCGAGCGGAATCAGCTTTCCGACCATTTTTCTAGCTACGGAATGAACATTAGTGAAACGAGAGGAACAGATGGAATGGATTTTGACGACCAATCACAGTATAAGTCTATAAGAAAAATAACTAGATTCAAAAGATCATGCTTGGTTAGGACGGACATGCGAGTTTTGAAGAAAACTAATTGAGTCGGAAGCAGAAGAAGAAGAAGAAAATATTGGCAGGATGACAGATAATGTAAGTTATATATTGATTTTACATTCAAATTGTTCTAATCATACAACAAAATATTACTATTTTATGGATGCGTTTAGAAAGCATGTTATCAATTACTATCAAAACTATTGTGCCATTTTGTCTTTATTTACGTGTTAATTACATGTTAAAACAAGGATAAATTGTACGATAGCACGGATAGCACTCTCTTTGGAATCCTTATCGGGAATTGACAAAACATAGAAAACTCATCCCTTATAGTTCGCCAAAGTTGAGTTGTAAACGACACTGTGCTCTCATACTTAGCCTTAAATAAAACATGTTTTTAATAAATTTATAACAAATACATTAAATAGTAGTAGTAATATATTTCATTACTAGTAGCGAGGTAGTAGTAATAATAATAAAGAGTGACGAAGTCTATAATAAACCGTAATATTAATTCTAATCCTCTTCTTGAATACGTGAGCTAATATTAATTCATTTTATTATTGCTTCTATTTTTGCAGATATTGATGTTCAAATTCTCACTGAAATGCAGGCACAAACGATTGTACTCAACAAACTGACCGATGCAGTTATAAGTATTGCAGACAGTATAAAGTATTTAATACAAAATACAACTCTGATACGTTCAATTATTATAGTAGTAATATTAGAAATTTAATGTAGTAGTACAAATATTATGGTAGTTTATCTTCAGGATTGGTCTCCACACCACGTTCTGCACCACGACAAATGTAGATATAGCGATACCTGTTGGTGCACGCGACAACAATGTGATACAATTTGTAAGACTGGTGATGACTCGCGTATTTCTTTTTCCATTTTTTTTCGTTAATTCTGATCTAGCTACAAGATATATTTTGAGCGTATGGTTCTATATGGATAAATACTATAGAATGATAATAATCAATCGGTGCATCAAACTTCTAAATAGTGGAACTTAGGCAGCAGATATAAACTTGATATACAGAATTACGTGTCTTATTTTTTTTAGATGTTTAGAAGAGAACGTGTCCTACCTTTTCCTTTTACTTAAAAAGAACTCATTCTCTAACTCAATCATACGAATGTGTGTAATCTTTTTCTTCCCTACGAAAAATAATAGCGTTATACGTATATATAAAATTTAATAAGAATAAATAAGGTGTATATAATAAATAAATAAATTACTTTATCCGGTTATACATATAATCGAGCAGCAAGTCGATTGCGTATACGTTATCCTTCATTGAGAATAGCTCTACCTTCTGGCATTGGTTGCACTTCGATGTTATTAATATTACCTTCTAGAGCCATAATGCCTTCCTCAGGTTCTGGTGGATCAGGCAAGTTAGCACGTATGCACATATTGTGCAGCACTGCACATGCGTTAATAATTTCGCCTGCTTTTTCTGGCATGTATTCCAATGTGCGATATCGAAGAAGGCATCTAAATCGTTTTTTTAAAACACCTATGCAGCGCTCCACACGGCTACGTACATTACTGTGACATTCATTAAAATATTCTTCTTGCGTGCCAGGTTGTGTTTCTGAAAATGGTGTTAGCAGCCATGGCTCTAATGGGTATCCAGAATCACCTTAAAAATAGAAATGAAAAAATTAATTTGATCAAAAATTTAAATAAGCAAAGGAATAATAATTACATTTGCAATTAATGTAAGCTAAAGTAATGGATATTTTTTAACAACTAAATGAAATATTATATATCCAAATAATTTCACAGATACAGATTTCATTACTTGAATTAGTGCTTATCAAACATCCAACAATGATTACCAGTTTCATATTGCATTTGGAGAAGATGCCGTACGTAACAATTTCTCCATACGAAAGAATCATGACTAGAGCCTGGATATCTTGCCAATATATTTATTATTTCTAGATTCGTATCGCATATCTGTAAGAAATAGTTATTTCATAACATTAATTTATAAATATTGTAAATTATTAATATTACTAATTGCTATAAAGAAATATAAATTACATTGGTTGGCATAGTCGGTTTTTATGTTTAAAATCGTCCTAAGTACAGTATAAAGATATCATAAGTCAATCATAAAGTCGTCCTATCATTTTAAAACATTTACTTAAGGCTCCTGAGTACTCACTGCAGCCATATCGAATTGTGACGTCATAAGTGAGATGTGTTATAATTAGCGACACGTTGATTTTTCCTACATGCCATTTATAAATAAAGAAAATGTGAATGAAACGAAATGATAAGATCGCTTTAAAGCACTAGTAAAAATGGACGGATTATTCTTACCTCTCCTGACAATCAGTAAGCAGTCGCAAAAAGTACGTAAAGTGTGTTCACTAGTTTTTACTCAATGCACATGCGTAGCCTATTTTCACTTTATGAGCCTGAAGTGACTACTCAGGAGCCTTAAGACGATTTTACAATAAGAAACCGACTATAAATACTGGTAATTGAAATTGTACTTACAATTTGCACATGGAGTGCATGGTAACCTTTTCTATTGATATATACCATAATCCTTCGTGCACATTAGGACATCTTATGGCTACATTTGTTCCATCTATCAATCCTAATAATCCTGGAATATTAGTATTGATGTAATTTCTGAAAAAAATACATGTTTTAATTGATTACGTTTTCTCTTGTGATTTTTTTTAGGTACAAAGTAGCAATGTAGAAGAGGAAGAAATGTTCGACAATTAAATATTGAAGACTGAATGATATGAACAAATTTTTCCCTTCATTAAATGTTTAACCATAAATTTTAACTATAAACTGTAATCGTTCTAAACTATAAAACTTTAAAGTTTAAAATAATTATATATTGCATTGTTTACTACAAATCCTGTTGTTATTTTTTATAAATACAATAAAGTGCAATACTTCAAAGCTTCTAATTGTTAATATATACCTTTGTATAATCTCCTGCA